GCAATCACACTTTAAAAAAAAAATTCCAATATATTCCTTATTTGTTTCAAGGTGGAGCTATCCCAAGTCTCAATTCACAAAAAGAAAGTAATACCAGATTAAAATATATCTATATGTATAAACACACATATATTTGATAGAAACAAATATGAAGAAAACAGTAAAATGCATTCTACCTCATTTTTACACTGTAATATCACTGATCTTCCAAAAGATCAAAAATCCATCAATATTGAAGCTATATCAATGTATCAAAACAGAAGGAAAGCATTGGATCTAAAGATCTTAATTCCTTATGGCTTACTGGAAGACTCCCAGTAGAACCTAATCAATCACGTCACATTAAAAAATAATAATAATACTTCAAAAGACAGAATGGAGAATCGGAAATAGATGCATAACCCTGCCAGAAAGATGTTTTGCTTTTCGAAGACAGACCTTAATTCTCACCTGTAAGCAGCCTAAAAAATGGGGTCATCAGGGTGGAATGAAGTTCAAGGAAAAACGTCATGCTTTTGCTGTTAATTACCTGAGAACATGTGCTTACATTTTTTTCCTTTTTAACTTTTTCTTTTTCTTTTCTTTTGACACACAGTCATGACACTTGGCTCTGATAGCTGAAAAGACATTAAATCAGAGCTTTCTATTGTTTTAAATTTTCTGACAAATGAAAAGTAATGTCAGGTACACTGGCAATATACGTATATACGTATATTTCACTACCATGATTCCAAGCATAGGTTTTCCATCAAGCTCAACTGGTGTTCTATGAGGGTGTGTCCTACGGAAATCCAACCAAGGGTGACTGCCAAGCTAAGATACAGAAGACAGCACAGAAAGCCAGGGAATCCCATAATATAAGCTATATTTTAGAAAGCCAGTTTGACAAGATCACTGACACTGTTCCATCCTTATGACCGTATTCCTCTACTTCTGAAACACCATTTTTGTCACTAAAGCATGGGTCAGTGTTGGACACAGTGGACACTACCATAAGGTGATACTGCAGAGACACAAATCATCGAACTAACCCATGAGAGAACATCCTGGTTCTGAGAATTTTGTCTTTCTTCTAAGCGACCTAAGTGGTCAACTGATTTCTTTTAGCCTCAATTTCCACAGATGAGAAATAGAAATCACAATAGAGTTCTGCCTTGCTGTGTTCTAAAAATGGAAAGTAGCTAAGAAAAGAACAAATGTAAAACACTATGGAAAGAATAAACTAGATTCCCTGACCTGATTATTGGTCAGAGCCTTGTAAAACTAGAATTACTACTTCCAATTCCATACATGCCATCTTGGCCATCAAACTGACTGATAAATAGTACTGACTGTACAACTGAACCATCTAAGGATTTCAAAGTAATCAAAACAAAGTTTAAGTCATGGTATATTTTCAAATTATTTAAGTAATGGCCTGCTAAGAAAATCTACTTACTGGCATTATAAAATTAGATAGGAGAAAAATTAATTATGAATTTTGGAATGTTGGAGGACTGGTGAGATGGCTCAGTGGGAGGCACTTACCAGGAAGATTGAGAACCTTAATTCTATTCCCAGGACCCCCATGGAAGCAGGGGAGAACCAATGCCCACAAATTGTTCTATGACCTTGCCATTCATGCTGTGGCACATGTACACCCACAAATATAAATAAATAAATAAATAAATAAATAAATGTAATTTAAAAATAAATGTGACAAATTGTCAGCGGCAGGAGCATAATAATTTGAAATTGATACTGAAGCCATTAGGTAAGAATTAGAAATGAGCTAACCCAGAAACAGATGGAATCACAAAGTATCATCTGATGGCTAGAATACAATATGGATTATTTTTCTACTGCTCTGTCTGAGTTGTCTAGCTCAGATTTTTAACGTCCAGATTCTATTTCAAAAATCACTTAACACTGTATATTTCCAGTAGCTATCAAGGCACAAATGTCATTCCTGACACCAAAGATTGTCAGTAAAGTCAATATAGACACTAATGATCCCAGGCAACAATGCTCAACCTCTTATCAAAGAGATCCGAATTCCAGAAGAAAAACTCCAAAGTTCTCTACGAAAAATCACTCTAAAGCACAGGAAGGAATTATATAAGATGCTAAGATCACTAAGATCTGTTATTCCTTGAAGGTTATATTATTCACTGAATTTTAAAATCCCAAACTGTCAGGTATTATAACATTTTAGTTCTCTCGCAAGCACCCGGTGCTCTGTTCTACACTGCCACATGATGATAGCTGCTGTCGTTATTTTTATACAATAGCTGGCGGCAAGGTGTACAGATACACTTCATCTTAGAAAAGTAGCCAAGTACCCTAAACACATGATTGGAACCTTCTAGTAACACTGACCACTTTCCTAAAGGCAGAATAAATGGATTAGTACACCTTACTGAAGCTTTATGGCCAGGATATTAGTTTATGAAAGGCACAGTTTGATTTTATTTCTTTTACTTTATTCTAAACAATTTAAATAGAATTCTTTTCCCCCCTTACCCTAGAAGTCTCCTTCTTGCTACCCGAGACTATCTCATTATATTCTAAAAGTTTTCATATGTGCTTCTGTCTTTAATACTTCCCATCAAAACTTTAATTCCATGTTTGGAAGAAGCAACTTCCCAAGAAATATATCTGAAGACATTTTTAAATGTAGAAGACAAGTTATTTTCATTTAACAAAGTCAATGATGTCTGTGAAAGGATAAAGAAATTCAGTCCTTCCTGACACAGGTGAATTCTGAGGTTTTGCACACACAAAAAATTATTCCAAGTCACAAACAAACATCTCAATGACCGATTCTAGGTCTCTGTTCTAATTAACAGACAAGAGTCCCTGTCTAACTCTATTTATTTTGGCAATCTAAAATGCTGATATTCTCCTAGATCTAACAGAGAGGAAAATGGGTATCTTCTCCATCTAACACCTAAGTGGGTAACCTAGATACTGTAAATAGAGGCTACCATAAGGGATACAACAGACAGCTCTGAAGTAAGAGCCAAAATATTTCACCTGCAACTCTTTGGAAAAGAACCTGAAAACCCATACAGCTTAGCCAATAACTTTACTAACATGGAATTGCCACAGGCTAGCACATTAGAAAAAACAAAACCCACAAAATCTCTTTACCAAACTTAAGTTTACTGCTGTTGGATGAGAAAAGCTCAAACCAGCAGAAAACCACAGTTCTCATTTGTTCAAACTAATCATTCCTCTACTTTGCAATGTTTATGGCAAAGAAGGGAGAACTGCACTACGTCTTTAAAGGAAGTAATTAGAAAAGCAAATCACAAGGAGCCAACTGAGGAATTAAACATTTTCTTGGTGATTTTCTTGTGGTGAGTAGGCAGTGACAGTCAAGTCTGATTCATTCTCTATGCCACATATTCAATGTTTTAAACAATAGAAATATATTAGCTAGAATACAATAGGAATGACATATAAATCTATCTTAACTCAGAAAATTGTATGAGCAAGCTGTTATTGAGAAATACAAACATATTCTGTTAAAGTACTAATAATATTAAATGGTAAAATGTAAAATCCTCTATTGCTGCTATACTATCACTTCTCAGTCAACAAACAAAAAAACAAGAAATAAAAAATAAATGCCATAGGATTTATCATAAGAGATTAGCACTAAATTCAACATGCAATCATTCAATAATTATTTTAGTTTTTCCTTTCTATATCACAGAGGAATCTCAAGGGCTGCCTCCAGAATGAAATTTTCTGCATAACTTTTTCCCATTCATAAAATGAAGAAAACTTTTAAAGAAAGTAAATTCAAATAGTTCAATCACAATTTCAAGTCAATAGTTAAAATCACTCAAAGTTAATGAACTAAAAAATGTATTCAAGAATAATTTATATACTTCTGTTTATGATTCAGAAGTCTTTACTAATTACAAAGTTTGTAGCTTTACAATAGCTTAAGCTGGGGTAATAGAGGAAAGTTGAAAGGAAAAGTTCTCTCTGATAATCAGAATTAACTTGAGAATACACTTAGAATCAAAGTTGATTCAATTTTTTTTTCAGTTTCTAAATCTTGAAAATGGAAAGGGAAAAGTCTTTCCTTCATATATCACCCAAGTAGAAAAGTTACAAATCAAATTAAGCTCACATATAAATTGTGTAAGAATATAATATATATTTCAAGTAGAAAGGAAAAAAAAGACTTCAAATCCATTTATAATAGAAGTTAATAGACCACTTGTACTTACAGATAACTAACCTGGTAAAAACATTCTAATTAAGAGACAAACTACAGTCTTAATAAATAAAACTGTCTTGTCTTCCAACACTGACATCATGTAAATTGTTCTTTTATTACACACAACATTGTACATTACATTCCATATGAAAGGATTAAATAGACATTCAAAACTGTCTACTCTTGCAAGCCCAAATCTTCCTTCCACATATTATTTTCTGGACAATCTAAAACAAAATGCTTTCACCGTTGCTAATGACATTTCCCTTCTGATGCTTTGGAAGAAAAACTTTGGCATGCTTTTTTTTAAATTCTTTTTTTAAAAAGCAAATAACACTATAGTTCTACAATTGATGTTTTAGCTTTGTACCAAGGCAATAATTTTTTTCCTTTCTTTTTTAACTATGAAGAATCCTTTGGAAATGACACATTTTCATATTTTTTTTAATCCGACAACAACAACAACAACAACAACAAATCTAGAGTAAACCTAGCAATCAAAACAATCATCACCAAATCCTAACATTTCTTACCTGATACAGGTAAGCACCAGCTCCCAAAAGCCACCTTGGAATAGTTCAGACTAGTAAGTAGGCTCATGTTTTATGATACTAGAATGACAGGAGTAAATCTGTGTTGCTCTTTCTCTAGCAGGAGCTATAGTGGTAGCTAGCCACAGTGTGAGCAGACCCCACAGACGTAACAAATTCAAATCTGTCGCTTGAGAAAAAAAAAAAAGAAAAGAAAAGAAAAAAAAAAAAAAACACATAAAACGGAGACTTACTGCTTGTCATGTGACTTGGTGAGGCATGCTGTCCATTGGGTGTGCTTGATGTGAGGTCGATTGCCATATTGGAGTGCTCCCCTTCAGGTGAAAGCTCATTGTCACCTGTTTTCAAAAATAAAATCATTTGGTCTCTAGTCACTCACATAAAATCTTGTTACTAAGACTGCCTCATACACAGAAGCATGCATAACTGAACATTTAAGTTAATCTTTTACTTTTAAGAGAAACTATAAGAAAATACAAATACATAGCAAATGAATGAAATAGGGGGGAAATGCCACAATCTGCCCATAAAAATCTTAACAAAACTTTATTATCATAAACTGTTACATGACAAACAGGGCCTATGAAGTAGTTGATGGATAAAATAATTCTAGCAAAAACAATGAGCATTTTCTAAAATATCAGGTAAGACATTTCAAAAGAGAGTTGCTTTAAAAATGAAAACTTAAGAGAATTCTCACATTATGTGATTATGTGTCTAGAAAAATTAGGCTACATTGCAATAAATATGTCGTACACACTGAACACACACACACATATATTATAAAAAACCTGGTGCATTCTAGACTTAAAGTAAGTGGAAAAACAAATCAAATAAAAACTATAGCTCTGATAAGGCACAATTACTAAATAGTATCCTTAATTTAATGAGTAAGGATATTTCTATAGTCTCTTATTTTGCTTCTGTTGTTACTTCCTCAGATTCATTCAAAGGTGAAACTGTGAATAGTATATAAAAATAGAGAACTCATAATAAAAAATCAAAGCTCAGGAATTCACATACAGGTAACTCGAAGCTAACGTGTCATCCACGACAAATTAATGAAAATGAATACTCACATGTTATGTAGCCATCAATAGTCTCTGTTTCCATAGTCAAAGTGCAGTGCTGTAAAACAAAAGATTATAGCCTCAACACAAGGATTCCTTCCAGCATCAGCCATTAAATTCTTCACTTATTTGAAGCCCCAAACAGTTAGTCCACGTTGCTCCTGCAACCTGTCCTAAGGAACATACTACTATGTAGTGTATGTTCTCATTTGCAAGTCACTGAACTCTCTGCAAATGATCTGATTCCTGTTGGAGATAGGATAGGGAAGGTAAGAGTGCTGTGGGATGGGCTATAGCAGAAGAATGGCTCTCTTAATCAAAATTTACCTGTTTTCTCAGAAAAACATGTGGAGAATATACCTCAAATTTCCCAACTTTAACTGCAATTTAAATATTTTACCATTCACTACTTCCCACAATCACATTGCAGTTTGAGGACTTGCCTAGTATACAGATAGCTCTATTCACAATTGTTGCAAGTTGGTTCATCATGTTCTAATAGGGAGGGGGTGAACAAACAAACATAAGAAAACAAAACAAAAAACTTAGAGCTCAACTGTATCTTGAAGACTTGTGCAGCAATTGGCCAACTCTCTGACTTGTATTGACATTTTAGCCTACCCTAAGTTCTGCGTAATCACCTGTTCAACGTATCTTTAATTTCCTGCCAGACCATGGTTGGATAAAAATGCCAAGCAGATTTAATACATTTGGATTCCAACATTTTAGAAACATGTGGCTGTGCAGGAGGGGGGTCACTTCCCCCCTAACCCCCAGTATGATGGATGATTTTCATGCACCAATAACACAAAACAGAACTTAATTCTCAGAAACTAAAGTAAACTGTATGAGATGACACCCCCTAGCTTTGATTCACATAATGAAAAGATCGATAATCTAACTGTATTCTTTGACGGAAAAAGTTAAAGAATTGACAAGTCCTGAAGAGATTTTTACTTATTTTTCCCCCCTTTGGCCCTGGTTCTTTTTGCCTTTAGTTTCAAAACTCTCCCAGCACCAGCAGCTAAATTATTCACAATGAGCCATTTCTGTATTGATCGCCAAGTATATTTAGCCCTGGCTCCTGGAATTTCTCCATTACTTACTGGAAAACAGGCAGCTTCACTTCTTGTCTCCAAAACCACTTCCCTTCTCCCTCCCCTCCCCTCCTTCACCACCAGTCTCTCTACCCCCCCCACCCCCAAAAAACTTTTCTTTCTTTCTTTATGGAATAATCAGATCAAATTCTGAAGTTAGTTACTGCATAGCACTTAAATATCAACCTGCCCTACTCTTATCAAATTCTTTCAATTATGATTACATAAGGCTTTAAAGAAAGGGATACGTAAAGTTTAAAGGGGGAGCAGTTACTTCGGAGATTTTACAAATGAGTTTATCGCTTTAAAAATGTACACATTAACACATATATTCAAAAAGAAAAAGAAAGAAACGTCAGTTAGAAGCGAAAAAGTCTGTCCCATCAATGAACTAGTTATTAAACCTTCAGAGTAGGAAAAGAAAGAAAAAGGAGAAAGAGAAACGAAATGTACATACAAAAGAAACTGTCCTTTGATTAAAAAAGATCCATCACCATTTCCAGCTCTGTCGTGAGATCCCAGCTTCTTCTAACCCCTCAAAGAGGAGGTGACAATGTCGGACTGAAGACACACGGAGAGAGAAAGAAAGAAGTTTTTTTGTGTTTCCCCCCTTCTCTCTTTCCCTCCCAGGCCCCCTCCAAGCCAAGCCCCCTGCAGAGTTCAAGGCAAGAAGGCAGGGAAAGCACTTTACAGGTGGGTCATTCCAAGCCCGAATCCAGCAAACAGATCGGCTGATAAACAAAACCAAGAAATGAGAGAGAAGGAACAACCCCCCCAACCACCACCTCCTCCACCACCTCCTCCTCCTCCACCTCCACCTCCTCCCCCCTCCTCCTCCCCTTCGTCCCTTTGGGATGGTCTAGTAGGAAAAGTCACTCAGGAATGGCACCACGTACTTTCAGGAAAGAGGAAAAAAAAAGAGAGAGAAAGAGAGAGAGAGGTCAGTCAGTGCTACAGCAATGCGATTAACAAGAAGAGAACAAACTTGATCCACCGGTTCCTTAAGAATCGACCAAAAGCTAAGACAAGAAAACTGAAAGAAAACAGGGGAGGGGGGCACGAGGGGAGGGACAGTCAGGCAGAACCCAGGGAGGAACCTAGGCCAACTTCACAGGACTGTTTTGTGGCCTCTGGCAAAAAAAAAAAGACAGAAATTAAATCTTCATTCCATCTCTTTCACCCATACCAGAACCTGTCAAAGTGATTTAACTGCTGCCTTAATACGTGTGTCATACCATGTTGTTGTTTTTTTTTAATTTGGGGGGGTTTGTTTTGTTTTGTTTTCTCAATTCCAACAAGATCAGGATAGTACCTTCTATTCAGACAGCTGCAATTTATGCCAGGCTATCCAATCTTTCTTCTTGGAATTCAAGTTTAAACAAAGCAAAACCAAGTCCAAATCCATGACAGCTATAGAGATGAGAACTGATTAATCGATTAACATCCCAGAAGCAGATTACAAGGAGGGGATGATAAATTAAGGCAGAGGACATCGTCTTCAACCCGATTCCCTGAGCGTCTTTTACAGAAATCATTACACTACTCATAACCGCAACCCATCGCTCCCAAAGAAAAACACCTATATTATTCTTATTATCACTGGTTAACAGCAACAAGTCATTTGATCACATCACAGTGCAAAACGAGATGCCACATAATTACACTTAACTTTGAAAACACTCCCCCCTTTGCAAATCATACACAGATTTATATATAATCTATGAATCAGAAGACAAATAAAACAAGAGCTGTTCATCCCCACGCAAAAAGCCAAGCGGAGATTTACCTCAGCAGTGCGTGCAGTAAAATAATCCCATCACCCTTTTGTTTGTGTTTACTGTTAGTGTGTCCTCTCTCTTTCTTTCTTTCCTGTGCCTAACGTGTGTTTGTGCACTGCAGTTGGTGGTGGAAACTAAGGCAGTGGATCTGTAGCTAAGGGTAATCCTGTTTTTACTTCCTCCATCTTCAGCGAGGAGCAGGGTTAGCCCGGGACAGCTGGTCAAACCCCGAGAAACCGATCCAGCGGAGCCCGAGAACATCTCCCCCGCCGGCCGGGCTCGCGCAGACGCCCGCGGGCGGAGGGCAGGCGGCGGCGGCGGCGGCGGCGGCGGCAGCGGTGGCGACAGCGGCGGCGGCGAGCTTCGGGTACCCAGGGACCTCAGAGCGCACAGGCTCCGCCTCGTCGTCGTCATCTTCGGCGGTGATCGCCGCGCGCCCAGAGGCTCCTGCAGTCAAAGAGTGTCCAGCGCCAGCGCCTGCCGCCC